CGCGGCTCCATTATTTATAGCCTTTGCTACACATACATTAGCTGGGGAGCACATGGAATGACTTCCAACAAAACGTTAGGTGGCGTTACTCCTAATAGCTTGAGCTATTATGACATCTACACTAATTGCAGACCTTAGCCCCTTTTATTTTTTTAAGGTAGCTTCATCAGTTGTTCTGAATTTCAAGTCTGAGACTACATTCAGGTACAGTATCTCAGACAGGAGGATTAATCCATTTATACTTTTGTGTTTGGGTTTATAACCACTTCAGGATCATTAAGACATTCTTTTTCACTGTGTGCTGTGGTAGCTTTCATAATTCATCTGTAGTCTAAACTAGTCTTTCTGAAGCATGTTTATAAATAATATTCCAATACAACACATTAACCAGGCAGCTCCAGCATGCATTTCTTTTTAGACCTCTCAGAAAATAGCTTCTTAAAACAGTGACAGGCTGTTGTGAGAAAGAAAGGGGGGAAATGTAGGTCAGGTCTGTCACACATGGGCTACCATTACATGAAGTGATAGGCTGTCTTTCTGCTCTGGCCTCGGGATAGGAGTCCCTCAGCCTTCCATTAGAACCTTCAATAAATGTATATCCACCCTACATGTTAATGGGGGGAGTCAATAATAGTGTATTGCCTGTGGGGAAAACACTCCATCGCACTCTGCAGCAACACACTCTGCTCCAGCATTGACGTGTAGCCACCACCACTTCTGAATGTGTCTGATAAAAGCCCAGTGTCTCTGCAGCTTGTTATTGAATTCTCTTCCATTGTCCATTGGCACACCATCAGGCCTTCCCCTCTTGTGCTGGGTTTTAACTCCCCTGCTGCTGCACATGCAGGACATGGAGAGACAAAGACATGCTCATTCTGGCAGAGAGGCATCACTGCAGGATGAAAAGAGGGATATAGAATTGTATGTACACTCTATGAATTCTCCACTTAAATAGTCTCGTGGTTCAGACTTCATGTGGGTTTGGGGAAAGGGGTGAAAACAGAGTTGTGGAATGAATATTTTAGAGGAATGGAAAAAAAATGGATCTCGGGCGAATTTATGATGTAAACACTCTTAAGATCAGACTTAAATAAATTTTTCATCTCCAAGTTATTTTTTCAGTGCCTGAATGTGATGCCAGGACAAGAAATTCTGCTGTCCAGTGCTCTCATCCCCTTGTACTCACAGCAGTTGTAAGAGTGGCTGTGTCTTCTATTTTCTCAAGTTGTTCATACACAGGAAAAAAGAAATATGAGAGATTCAGTCAGGAGTCTCTTCTGTATCTAGTGAGTTTTAAATCCAGACTATGAACTTCCATTTTGCTTGAGTCAGGTTAATCCACTGAGCTAGAGAGTTTTATCAAGATTTAACCAGTTACTTTGTTTTCCCTTGGAATTTAAGGACGTTGCTATAAATTAGTTTGGACAAACTCTGCAGGAATTTAAAGATTATCTTTATTTTCTGAGATTCTTTAGCACACAGAATCTTTGGAAAGATTCTGTCCAGAAGACAAATCGTCCCTTTATTTCTGCAGGTGTTTGGTCATGGGATGGTCATATGATAGAGATACTTTAATCCATTCCCGGGGCACCCAGTGCTTCCAACACGAAACACACATGTGCAGTGTCTCTGCATTCTTCCCAGCATGTTCCCTGGCAGCAAAGTGATGGTGAAATAAATCCCAGTTCTCTGAATGCCTGTCAAGCTGCTCCTGAAGTCATGATTCTAGACAAATTCGTAGGCACTGCCATAAAAGCTCACAGAAATAAAGGAATTGAGACAGCAGCTAAGGGGGATAGTGATGAAAGAGAGAATACAGCAAGTTAGCAAGATGCAGGGGAAGCCTAGGAAGGAGGATCCTGAAGGATGTTACTGTGCCCTTTGCACTGCAGCCTCTTCCCCTTTCACAGACTGTGTGCACCTCCTTGGGTTGCACTAACAAAATCTTAATTACTTGGCTCAGAAATTCAGTAGTCAGGGAAGTTCCAAGAAGCTGAAATTCCGTGGGGCTCTGTGGTTTTAATTTTCTTTGGGTTTGAATCATTGAGAATAACAAGGGAATGTGCTTTTCTATCCTAATGCTGCTTTTCTCTGAAGGTTTCCCAGTAATCTCCTACATTTTTTTGTGCCTTCAGGCCATAGTATTTAAAGGGAAAGGGACAAACCACAAACTGCTTAGAGGTTTGGCTCAAATACTTACCCAAGCTTTTCTGATCTAGGAATCTTACAAGAACTGCCTTTTTTTATATGTTTGGTGAAAATTTGTCCAATTCACTGTATGGTCATGTAAGAATAACTTTCTGTAACGGTGAATCTTTTCCTTACAGTCCCTGTGATAAATTTGGGGGATGGAACCAAAGTTGCATAGCCATTTACCTATTAAGAATGTACTTTTTTTCTGTTAATTTCATCCATTCTGTGTTCAGTATCTCACTCCAAAAAAGATAACTATGCAGTTAAAATCAAGCTTGACACTAATAACTACCAAAGGTTTTTCAGCGAGTTTAGCTTGGGAAAAACCTGGTTTACATTCTTCATATTAGAAGGCATCTGAACTCTGAAATTTCATGCTGTTTTGGCACAGTTAGAAAGAAGAAAAACTTCTCACAGAATCAGAGCATCACATAGGTTGGAAGAGACCTTCATAGGTCATCTAGATCAACCTCCTACTCAGAGCAAGTCCACGTAGGTCAGTTGTTCAGACCTTCTCTAGCTTAGTTTGTCATGTCTCCAAGGATGGAGATTCCTGAGCTGCTCTGGGCAGCCTGTTCCAGTGCCTCTCCACCCTCTCAGGGGAGGATTTCTGCCTCATACCTAAACCTCTCTGAGTCTGAAGTCATTCCATTCCCCCTTGTCCTGTCACCACATGCCCTTGTAGAAATTCCCTCTCCAACTTGTAGGCTCTAAGGGTTTATAGGGTGGGGGTGTAATCACCAGTAGGAGTTTCCACATCTCAGCACACACCTCCTTTGGATTTTCAGTTTAAATTACCCTTTGAGGAAAATATTATAGATGCAATTTTCCTACATGACTAACATTCCAGTGTCACTTTCCTTTTGTTCTTTTGTCACTTCTTAGGAGGAACTGCAGGTTCTGTCTGGAATTGCAGTGTTCCAGCTTGTGCCAGTTGCCTCTGACAGTGGGTTTGGTTCCATCCCCTCTGCATCTTTCTGTAGGGCAGTGAGGCCTAAAACAGCTCATTTTACACTCTCTGGTCACTAATTCAGCTGCCACTGACAATCCCAATGGCTTTGCAGGGTGCCAGGTTGTACTCTGGAGGGGACAGAAGTGTCTATTCCTTCTCCAGCCATGGATTTTGTGGCTGGAGACCCTCAGCTGCAGCACGAGTCTTGACTCCATGGGGTTAATTCTGATCTGCTACAAGTGAAGCAGTATTTTATTTTATTTTATTGCATTTTTCTAACAAACATATCTTTCTGTTAAGAATGTTCTGAACACATGGCTTGAAATGAAAGTAGGTGTGATTGTTTGAAATTAAGGCAAAAGACTCAAACTGAAGTAATTGTTTAAACACTGAAAAGCCTATTAGAAAAAAATAACATGTGAAAACATCCAGGGTTTGAGTACTGTGATGATGAGTAGATGATATGAACAGTATTTGACTGACAATACATGTCTTGAATTTCCTTTAAGTGCTTGGTTTAAAACCAAACAAATCTATCCTAAGAATATGTGCCTGATAAAGTGCTAGAAAAATCTTTCAAGTATTATGACTATTTTTTATCATTACCATAAACTGTTAAAAGGGTTAAATTTCTACTGACTGCTTGCAACCCTTTCCCTAAAACTCAGCCTTAAATAGCCCAAGAAATATTTATTGTATCCTCAAGTGAAACTTAAATACCTTTCCTCTTTTACAATTCCTGAATGACCCAGCAAGGGCTCTAGTAAAGCTTTACTGAACCAAGCTGCTAATAGTTATTTAATGTTGTTCTGTAGCCTGAAAGAATCTCAGTAGATTTTTTCCCTTTTAATCTCTTTGAATTGCAGGCTCATAAACCTCTCTGATGAGCCTGCCAGTGTTTTCTTAGATCCTGCAGTTGAGACAATGGAGCTGCAGAATCCTTTCACCTCTTGTTGTCAGACAAATCCCATAGATGGCAAAGCCAGGCAGGCTGTAGTGCTGGTGAATTAAAATTTGCTTCTGGAGTTATGGTGATGATCAGTTTGTCACATTTTCCCTTTATGTTTAGGAAGGAAGTGGTTCAGAAAGTGCAGATTTGGAAATTTCCTCAAGTCAGGAGCACTTCCTGAAGGTTTACAGCTTTTGAGATTAACCAGTTAGATTTCCAGACTTGAGTATCAGACAAGGAATAACAATCTCTGTTCAGGCTGGAAATTAGGAGAATGATTCATTTTGCTTGTTGGTTTTTCTTCTATATTTTCAAACTTGCAATTACAGTAATGGATTGGAAAAGCTTTGCTGAAATTCTGTTCCCTAGGCTTCATATTATACTATTTGTGAAGTAGAAGAGAGGGTAGACTTTTCCTCAGCCTTCCTCTTCCTTACTTCGGTGGTTAGACTTGATGATCTTAAAGGTCTTCTTTGTTTGCATGTTGGCAAGGACATCCTCTGTCCCAGTCCTCATGTTTTGTAGCTTGTACCAGGCAAACTCCAAGTAACATTAGAGTTACTTGGTCTGAGTTAAGGCCATCTGAGCCTTTATTGTATTTTGAACATCTCACAGAGTTAACTAATGTGTATCTTCCAGTTTTCTTTCATCCTTACACTCCTGCTGATTGTTTCCCTTTCAGTTGAAAACAGTTGCAAAGGAAAAACTGGGCCTGAACAGTTGGTGGTTGTTTTTTGGTGATAAAGGAGGAAATCCTCCAGTGTCTCTCAGACAAAGGTTGGAGATGTGCAGGTTTTCTGGGCTGTTATTGGAGGAAGGGACTGCAAAGTCCCTTAGTTCTACTTTTTAGCTCAGAGGAAAGACCAATTACACAGAAGATGGAAACCACTTAGAATACCCTGCAGTCTAGTGGTTAGGTAGGGTGATCTCTTGGGAGTTAAAGTAACATAATCTGGGCCTCTGACTTGTTCAGCAAGTGCTCAATAAGTAGTTCAGGAATAAGAACTTCCTTCCCTGCCAACCTTTCCTAGAGAGCCATAGAGAACCTTCCACGCTTTCGGAACCTTGATGTCCTTAAACTCAGCACTCCAAGAGCAGAACACCACCTGCCTTCTCAGTAACAGCCTCAGTTAAACCTTAAATTAGTGTAAGATCCTGAGCCTTGCCAGACCTAAGGCATTTCCCTGCTAAAGATCAGCTTTCAGGCATTTCTTGGGCTTTAAAATACAGCATGTGGGGGCTGGAGCTTTCAGGTGTGAGGAGCAGCTGGCAAGGTTTGGGTAGGAGGTTGTAAGGGGGTTATGTCTTTTTGTTTTTAGTATTACCTTTTATGGCTTCACCTGTAACTTTATTGACAAGTTCTTACATTATCAAGCCAAAGAACTTGGTGTGAACTTTGTACCTCAGATATGAGTGTGCTGATCAGTGGAGTAACACCAGTTTGTACTGCACTTTGCATTTGATGCTCAGTTGTATCCTGCTCTTTTTGTTTCATGCTGTACTCGATGTTGGAAGAGTCTAGGGGGGTCAAATGGCAGCAGATCTCACAGCTGCAGCCAGAACTGAGCTCCTCTCTGTGCTGAGAGACTCTTTAGCATAAAAGGACACTTGGATTAGTCTTTCCC